AAGGTGGCGGTGGGTGGGTGGGCAGGGCTGCAAGCAGCTGTGGGCTACTGCATGTGATTTCCTGTGCTGGGCCTCTAGGAGATTATAAAAGCGCCTTGATGGCAGACATGTCTTATTCAACTCTAGATAGGTAGTAGCCTCATTTCTGACATCGAGGAGATAATTTATATTTATTATATGAAGGAAGGAGAGAATAACGAATATTATCTTATTTTTTGTTCATGATGCACCATTTTTCATTTTTATTTAGCCTATGAAGATTGCCACAGTAAGAGTTTTATATAAATTGAAAGTTCTAGAAGATTGAGAGTTTAATCTCATCAAACACCAAGGTCATTAACTTTAAATATATTTAAAAAAATTATTTCTGAATTACAGTTTACATTCAGTATTTTTTTGTATTAGTTTCAGGTGTACAACATAGTGGTTCAACAATCATTTCTTTACAAAGCATTCCCCCTCATATTTCCAGTACCCACCTGCACCATACATAGTTATTACAATATTACTGACTATATTTAATATATATTTACTATATACTATGCTGCACTTTACATCCTCATGACTATTTTCTAACTACTGATCTGTACTTTTCAGTCTCTTTACCTTTTTACCCAGTCCCCTCACTCACCACCCCTCTGGCAACCATCAGTCTGTTCTCTGTATCTATGAGTCTGTTTCTGTTTTGTTTATTTGTTTATATTGTTCTTCAGATTCCACATAAATGAAATTATATGGTGTTTGTCTTTCTCTGACTTATTTCACTTAGCATAATACCATTTAGGTCTGTCCATGCTGTTTCCCACAGTGGCTGCACCAGTATGCATTTCCACATCCTTACCAATGGTTATTTGTTGATTTATTGATGATAGCCATTCTGACAGGTGTCAGGTGATATCTCCTTGTGGTTTTAATTTGCATTTCTCTTATAATTAGTGATGTTCAGCATTTTTCATATGTCTGTTGGCCATTTGTATGTCCTCTTTGGAGAACATAGGTTGTCTCCCATTTTTAAATTGGATTGTTTAGTCTTTTTATTTTTTGGTGGTGTGTTGTATGACTTCCTCATACATTTTGGGTGAGAACATTCTCTTATTGAAAGTAACTTATTCTTCTTTCTGAGCAGCAACTTGTTCCCAGATATAATTCACCTAGGTTGGCTTGAACTCTGCAGTTATTTCTGCTCTTCTCTTATTGAAATCTTATCTGCCCTGGCCAGGTGGCTTGGGTGGTTGGAGCATAGTCCCATAAACCAAGAGGTCGCAGATTTGATTCCTGATCAGGGCACATACCTAGGTTGTGGGTTCCATCCTAGCCGGGTATATGGGAAGCAACTGATCAATGTTTCTTTCTCATATTGATGTTTCTCTCTTTCTCTCTCTCTCTCCCTCTCTCTCTCTCTCTCTCAAAATCAATAAAAAAGTTATCTTTGGTTAAGGATTAAAAACTATCTTCTCTCTAAGAGCTCAGAACATAAGGGTATGTAATGAGAATCAAGTTCAATAAGTAGATGGATACTAGATATAAGGAGATATGTGTCATGAAGCTTGTTTTATGACTCTGCTTTATTGTTCACAGTGGCAAAAAAGTGAAAGAATGATACAACACATGGTATATAACCATTACCACTGAAGCATTTTGTATTGCTTTCTGTGAGTACATTGTCACTGATCTAATTTTCACTAAATGTTAATCAGTTTCTATGCTAAAAATACATTGAGCTGAACAATGGATTAAGAAAGATGTTGTTCTAAATCCCATCTTGTACTTTTCATTTAATGGGTCTAAATTCCTTAAAGTATCAGCCTTTAAAATTGACTTGTAGAAATCTGAAGTTACGGCTCTGAATCTCTTTGGAGGGGGTGCTTATGAATATTAACTGTACCCTAAGATGCACTGTGTTGGTACAAGACTCATTTGAGCACAGAATTAGTGAGAGGTGAATGACGAATAATGGGCTCAGTGTGTGGAGTTTAAATATTCGAAAGAACAGACTCTGTATGGTATTGTAAAATGTCTTGTAGCTTCATTTCTGATTTTGAAATGTTACAGTGCTTGCTTATTGTCACAGCATGATCTTCAGCACAGTTGGGTAGTGCTTTTTTAAAGTAATGCAAATGCATGAATGTCAGAAATACCTTCAAATATCAGGGACTGCATCTTTAAGGAGTACATTTGGCATTAAGCAGCCTTTTCCAGCTAATGAATTTCTCAAGTTACAAGAATAATGGCCTTTTTAATCTTAGCAAGAGTAATTAAACAGACATTTGTTATTAATGATGTTGTTAATGGCAGAAGATATTGAATTCTCACTTTAGATATTATATTGAGAGTGATTATTTTGAGTATCAGGCATATGATTATATGATGGTTTTAAAAGTACATCTACTTAAGAGCACTGTAAAGAACTAGTTATTTAAAATAGAGAAAACTGCCTTAACTTTTACCGATACTAAGGATACTAAATATTTCCACACTGTGGCAGAACTAGCTCTTAGGGACAAAGAACACTTGTTTTATTAGTTCTACCCTTCATTTCCAGTAGTATATTTCCTCACAGAGTGAGAAGTACTTACTCAAAGTTCACTTCAAAATAGAAAGATGGATGATATTGGTTGTCTATTCTATGTCCATTTCCCTTTCCTAAAAGGTTCCTCAATTCTGTTCAGAATTCCAACGTATTTCCAGCTTTAGAAAGGCATCCCAATTAATCAACTCATTTATTCATTCAACAAATATTTACTGAGTGTCAATATGGCCAGGCACAATTGTGTCTGTGCACTGTGAATGTAGCTGTGAAACAAGAATGAAACAAAATAAAACCAGACAAAAATATCACAAATAAACAAAAGCAATATGTAAAAAGACAAACATCCCTACCGACCATGATTGGGATAATGAATTGATCAAGGTAGAGCCAATCAGGCCACAGCAGCCCCCAGTGACTTATGGTTCAGTGCCAGTGCTGGCCTGTGGGCCAAGTGTTCCAGTCAGACCAGAGAGCAGGGGGAAATAATTCTTTTTCTTTTCCCCCCTAGACATAAACAAAGCAACAGCAAGGCCCAATTGCCACTGGCAGCCATTTGTGACTATGAGGGAATTTGGGATTAGGACACACAAAAACCTAAGGATAACCATGGGGATTTCTACTGCCTGCTCTAAAAGTATCTGAACACCAGGGCACTGAGCTAGGATCTTCACAAGCTCATGAGAATGACGGGACTCTGAAGCAAAGACACTGATGTAGAAGTGCTTAACCACTAAAGGGGGGGAGGGGTCACAATTATTTTAAGAATTGGCAAGTTCAGAGGAACAGCCAAGGAGACTATTCACAAGGAAGTGTGGTGATTAACAGAACATGGCTTTCCTGGTCAAAATAGATAGATACCATGTGAGGTACATTATATACACAATGAAAAGAAGATAAGAATGGATGAGTAGATATCTAAGGGTCATCATTGCCTGAAAAGGAAGTTATATTTTCTTGCCCAATTTTGGGACCACAATCAATTTTTAGATATAGAATTCAGTGACTCATGGGTTGGCTGGATCCCTCAGAGAACCCATGGCAATACAATGTCATATATATCCTATCTAATAAAAGTGTAGTATGGAAATTAACTGTCACTTCATCACTCCATCACAAAGATGGCGGTGCCCAGTCCCCTCAGCCCCGCCGCTGAAGTGTCAAGGCCTGTCACCACTCTGGAGGGCCGATTGCAGCAGTGTCTGGGCCTGTGGACCCGGCCGGGAGCCGTGGGGGCAAGCAGGAAGGCATGACCTGCCCACTCCGGTAAGCCGATGCAGCCTCACCACTCTGCCACCGCTGCTGCAGTGTGCGGGCCTGTCAGCCCCTCCATGAGGCTGAATGCTATGTCCATGGGGCACATGCAAGTGGGTGGGGACTTGACTCTGGGTCTTCTGGCGCAGAGGGACTTGATGCTATGTCCCTGTTTGTGCTGGCAAGCAGGTGGACATCCCCTGAGGGGTCCCAGACTGTGAGAGGGCACAGACCAGGCTGAAGGACCCCCCAAGTGCACAAATTTTTGTGCATCAGGCCACTACTACTATAATAATTCCCCTGATTTCCCCCCTGAGGATTTATGGATATTTACTTGGTGCCCAATGCACTGGAGATAGGGGAATTTATTCAGGGTCTGAATTGACATTGATACCTGGAGACCTGAAGTATTATCATGTCCCCATTTCAGTGTGGGGAATGGATGGGTCAGATAATCAATAGAATCATGGCCAAGGTTCAGCTTAGAAAAGGTCCACTGGTTTTTTGGCCCCACATGGTTGTTGTTTTCCAAGTCCTCAAATGTAAAATTTAGAATTAAGATACTCAGCAGTTGGAACAACAAGAATTGAATCCTGCCCTAACCGGTTTGACTCAGTGGATAGAGCGTTGGCCTGTGGACTGAAAGGTCCCAGGTTCAATTCCTGTCAAGGGCATGTACCTTGGTTGCGGGCACATCCCCAGTAGGAGTTGTGCAGGAGGCAGCTGATCGATGTTTCTCTCTCATCGATGTTTCTAACTCTCTATCCCTCTCCCTTCCTCTCTGTAAAAAATCAATAAAATATATTTAAAAAAAAAGAAATTCTTAAAAAAAAAAGAATTGAATCCTTGGTCTGTGGACTAAGAGCTATTAGAATGCAGAATGACAAGAAGAAGCCTTTGAAATTGCCTTATCCCACAACCAAGATAGTGAATCAAAAACAGTATTGCCTCTAGGAGGGATGACAAAGATTAGAATCACCCTTGTGAATCTTAAAGATGTAGGGGTGTTTTTCTCTATCATATCTCTTTTTAATTCCTAAGTCTGGTCCTCAGAAATTGAATGGATCTTTGAGAGTGACTATAGACTGCCACAAGCTCAACCAAGTATGGCCCTGATTGCAGTTGCTATTCTTGATGTGGTATCTTTGATTGAGTAAATTAGTAAATTATTGGATCTATGTCATGAGGTTCGACACAGATCCAATAATTAGCACCTTTTTCCTTTTCTATTATAATCAGAAAGAGGATCTGAAATAGTTTGCATTTACATGGAAAGAACAAGAATATACATTTAAAGTTTTGTTAAAGGTATACAGGGGTGAGAAAAGATAGGTTTACAGTTATAATACAAATAAACAATACAATAATGAATAAATAAAAATACAAGAATAAACTGTGTTTTGTGTACTCACAACTGTAAACTTACGTTTGCTCACCCCTATATATTAACTCTCACACTCTCTGCCATAATATAGCCAGAAGATATCTGGACCATCCAGACATCCCACAGAGCATCATGCTGATTGATGATATCTTGCTAATGAGGAAGAATGAGAAAGAGGTAATTAGCATGCTGGAGATGTTAGTTAGATGCATGTACCCCAGAGGGTGAAAGATGAACACATTGAAGATTCAGAGACCTAATATTTCTATAGTTTTTAAAGGTCCAGTGGTCAAGGACATACTGGGAATTTAATCTAAAATAAGAGACAAATTGCTACTTGCATCCCCTACCATAAAGAAGGCATAACATTTGGTATGCCTCTTTGTGTTCTGGAAGTAATATATTCCATTCTTAGAAATATTGTTCTATCTGATATGCTAAATGATATACAAGACTGTTAGCTTGTGTGGAATCTGGAGCAGGAAAGGTCTTTGTAGCAGATTAAGGGTATTATGTAGCAAATATTCCCTTAGGGTATACTGCCTATGCCCTATGATGTTGGAGGAGTCAGTAGTTGGAAAAGATGCAGTGTTCAGCTCATGACAAGCCCATTGGGAAAATCATATTATTGGTCCTACAGTCACAGAGCAAGGCCATGCCATCTGCAGTGGGGAAACAGCTCCTGACATGTTATTGGATCCTGGTAGATACCCATATTAGCTGGGACCTGTGGGACACTCCAAGGCATTTCAATTATGTGTAACCAGCAGCAGTTCATCATAATCCTATATAATAAAAGCCTAATATGCTAAGTGTCTGGTTGTTCGTTCAACCAATCAAAGCACAATATGTTAATGATAGGCTAAGGCTGCTCAACCGCTCACTATGATGTGCACTGACCACCAGAGGGCAGATGCTCTGACTGGTAGGTTAGCTTGCTGCTGGGGTCCGGCCAATTGGGACTGAGCAAGACAGGCTGGACACACCCTGGAGCTCTCTCGTGGTCCTTCCCAGGCTGGCCAACCTCCCATGTCCCTCCCCAGCCCTGATCGTGCACCGGTGGGGTCCCTTGGCCTGGCCTCCACCCTCTCGCAATCCAGGACCCCTCAGGGGATGTTGGAGAGCTGGTTTTGGCCCGATCCCACAGGCCAGGCTGAGGGACCCCACTGGTGCACAAATTCGTGCACTAGGCCTCTAGTAAATTATAAATTTACATTGAGCCTAAGCAGACTAGAAGCACAAGAAAATTGTATAAACAGGGAGCTTAGATTTCTCCACTTTCTATGTCAACCACCGTGGTTGTATGAACACCCTTTCTCAACTCTTGTCTATGACCATATGTGGATGTCTTTTATAACTGCTAAGGAGGAGAAAAAAGCCAAAATTTGGTTTATTATTGGTTAAATACTCAATAGAGTCCTAATCAAGTACATTGGTTCATTATTTGAGTCAAACCAAAAATTAGTGTGGTTGCATTACAAGCTATA